GGTCAAGAAACATCAATTTGCTGACAAGAAACTGATGACGCTGTCGAGAAAGAGCTTTAGTAAATATATCAGCCGTTTGAAGATCAGAAGTGATATGAGGAAGAGATAAAACACCCTCCCCATAGGCTTCTCGAATGGAATGACAGTCTACTTCAATGTGTTTCGTGCGTTCATGAAAGACGGGATTAACAACAATCTGGATAGCACTAGTATTATCTGCATGAAGAGAAGTAGACTCAAGTTGAGGAAAACCAAGCTCAGCCAGCACGCCACGAAGCCAAATGATTTCAAAACAAGCAGAGGACATAACGCGATATTCTGATTCAGTAGAAGACTTAGACACTCGATCTTGTTTCATGCTCTTCCAAGAGATTAAAGAGTTGTCGAGAAGCAAAACCATCCCCCATCCAGTAATAGATCGGTGTGTTTCAGAACAACCAACCCAATTGACATCACTATAGGCTGTTAAGGTGATAGGAGACTTTGCAGAAAAGAACAAATCATGGTGAGAAATACCTTTCAAATGTTGAATAATACGTCGAGCTGCAGTTAAATGAAGATGTGTAGGGCTTGCATAAATTGCCTAACGTGTTGCACAACAAATGAAATATCAGGACGCGTAATAGTCAGATGATTGAGACTGCCAACCAGTTGTTAATATAGAGATGATTCAGATAGAAAGTCACCCTCATTCTGTTGATATTTGACATTTACCTCCTAAGGGGTATCAATGGAGCGACCATCTTTAAGACCAGTCAAAGCAATGAGTCCCTTCGTATAGTTGTGCTGATGAAGAAAAACACCAGCAGCATAAGAGTGAACCTCGAGTCCTAAGAAATAAGTTAATGACCCTAAATCTTTCATATGAAAAGAACCCTGAAGATGTTTCTGTAGCTGAGACATCAACATATACTAATAACAAAACAATTTCCTTGTTAGTCTTGCAAAGAAATAATGATGAATCATATTGACATTGAACAAAAGAGAAGTTAAGAAGGGTATTGCGAAACTTTTCAAACCAAACCCGTGGAGTCTATTTCAAACCGTATAGGGACCGTTTGAGCTTACAAACATCATATGAAAGTGTAGAAAATAAGCCTGGAGGAGTCATATAGACGTATTTTTTTTAATGCATTCTTAACATCCATCTGCTTTAAGAATCAGCCTTTAAATGCAGCAATAAATAACACCAGTTGGACAGTTGTCATCTTAGCCACAGGTGCAAATATTTCATCATAATAAATCCCGTATTCCTGACGATTGTCAAGAGCTACCAATCTTTTCTTATATCTGTCAAGAGAGTCATAGAGAGTTTCTTATATCTGTCAAGAGAGTCATCAGATCGGAGTTTAAGAGAATAAACCCATTTACAACCAATGGGTTTAACACCTGTAGGACATGAAATAATATTCCAGGTGTGATTTTCTTAAAGTGCCTGAAGTTCCTCTTTCATGGCTTCGACCCAGCAAGTCTGTTTAGCAGCTTGAAAGTAAGAGGTAGGAACAGTAGTATTTGTTCAAATTGCAGAATACCCATATCTATTTGGAGGACGGAAACGTCGGGTTGATCGTCGAATGGGTCGGGGAGAATTGAAGATGAAGGGGGCAGGCAACGTGTGTAGACAATGTCTGGCTTGAATCGTTTATCAGCAGAATAATTATCGAATTGTGGAAGTATAACTATATTTGATGTGGACATATGATATTGAAAGTAATATTCATGTTCAAAGAAAATCACATTTCGAGAAATATGCCATCGACTATTAATCGAATCATAACACACAAAACTTTTATGATTAGGATTGTACACCATAAAGGCACATCAGACTGACTGAGCTGCCAATTTATGACGTTCATGAGCAGGTAGATGAACAAAGCAAACACATCGGAAAGTATGTAGCGTATGATAATAAGGGTGTTTATAAAAAACTCGATAGTAGGGAGACTCATACTTCAATTGTTGAGATGATAAATGATTAATGAGATAAACTGCAGTAGATAAAGCTTCAGTCCAAAATTTAGCTGGAACAGAAGATTCTATCAGTAATGTGCGCACGACATCCAATAGATGCCAATTTTTTCATTTAGCAACTCCATTTTGCTGCGGTGTATAGGGACATGAACGTTGTGAAACAATCCCTTTGTTCTGAAGAAATGCTTGAAACTCATGAGACATGTATTCACCGCCATTGACAGAACGCAAGGTTTTAATGCGAACGGAGAACTGAGTTTCAATATATGTTAAAAATGCTTAGAATACAGTAAATACTTCTGTTTTGACGCGCAAAAAAAGATCCAAGTAAATCGACTTTAATCATCAATAAATGTCACAAAATATCTATATTGAGTATGTGAACTAACTGGTGAAATTCCCCAAACATCACTATAAATAATGTCAAAACATTTAATGGCACGACTGCCTAAAATAGAAAAAGGTAATGTCTTGCTTTTTCCAAGTTTACAAACAAAATAATCAACTACTAAATTATTATCTGTAGAACAAAAAATACCACTTTTATATAAATGCTTCAACACCATATCATTTGGATGACCTAGTCTTTTATGCTAGATGTCTGTCTTATTCTCAACAACTGAAGATGCTAATGAAATATTTTGAGGAATAATAAATTGTAATGGAAACAGTCTGTCCACTTTAGGCCCCTTCGCTATCACCTTCTCCGACACCTGATCCTGCACAATACAACCATCACGAGAAAAATATATATCACAGTTATTATCCACAATTTAACCAACAGAGAGTAAGTTAGTAGATAATTTAGGAGAAACCAAAATATGTTTGAAGGATGAGTTAATATCACAAACTTTCGTAATTGAAATATTATTTTCATTAGCAACCTGAATATGTTGAGTACCAGTATACGATCGTTGGTTATGCAATAGCTCAACAGTGTTAGTCATATGATTTGTGGCGCCTGAATCAACAAACAAAGGAGAAGTAACCGAAGAAATAGTTTTACCTTTCCTTTGAAGGCCGAGAGTAGAAAATGCAGAGAGAATCATCTATCGAACCATATAGGGTGTGACAGGTGATAGATTATTGCCAGCAACAGTAGAAGTCGGAGCAGGATTGTCGGATACCGTGGCACGAAGTGCTTGTGGTTTGCGATTTTGTGGTCGTGTTTGGCACTCCGAAAGAGTATGTCCCTTTTGCTTGCAGCTTGTGGTTTGCGATTTTGTGGTCGTGTTTGGCACTTCGAAAGAGTATGTCCCTTTTGCTTGCAATAATTACATACTTTATTTTCACAATTCTGTGCAATATGACCAAATTTATTGCAGTTGTAGCACTGCACTGACCCCTTCCCTTTGATCTTAGCAGCATATGCCACATTAATTATTTCTGATGATCCACCTGTTGTATAGTAGCTTGTGTCGCCAATCTTTGTTCTTCGCGCAGTAATTGCCCAAAACAAACATCCAAACATGGAACCGGATCTCTGTTCAGCAACCCAGCTCGAGCAGTTTTAAATTCAGGTCTCGGTTTCATTAAAAATTGATCACGACGACTTTCTTATTGAATGGCTTGAAGACTAGCTAAGTTCTCCTTTAACACTTTATATATATAATACCAGTATATTCGCTCCATAAATTTAAGAAACCATAATAGTATTGTTCGATTGAAAGATTACCCTGACTATAATTACTCATGTCAAGTTCTAATTGGAAGCGTTTCGCAGAATTATCTTGATTATAAACGCGCTTCAGGTATTCTCACATTTTTTTAGCTGTGCCAAAGGATCGTAAATTGTTTATCATATGAGCCTCAATAGATCCCAAAATCCAGGAAATAATCCGTGCATCCTTTGTTTCCCACTGATCAAGATCTTTTTTCTCAGTAGGAGTTGGGGTAGATCCATCAATATGACCCCAAAGCTCCTTCCCTTTTAAGAACATTATGAGCTGAAATTCCCATGCGGCTTAATTCTTTCCTGTAAATTTGATAACTAAGATTTCAGAAGACATTTTAAATATATTAATCTCGATCGAAATATCCAAAATAAATAATCAGATCGTGGCACTGCAGGAGAGAACGAGCAAGCGGATCGCGGTGCAGATCGCGGCACGGCAGGGGCGAACGGCAGATTGCGGTACGGCAGGAACAAGCGACGGATCACGACAGATCACGGCAGATCGCGGGCAGCCAGATCGCGACAGACTGCGGCAAGAGCGAACAAAGGGAGATCGCAACAAGCGGATCGCGACAGATCGCAACAGGCGGATCAAGGGAGATCGCGACAGATCGGAGCAGTGCGGTACGGCAGGAACAAGCGACGGATCACGACAGATCATGGCAGATCGCGAGCAGCCAGATCGCGACAGACTGCGGCAAGAGCGAACAAAGGGAGATCGCAGCAAGCGGATCGCGACAGATCGCAACAAGCGGATCAAGGGAGATCGCGGCAGATCGGAGACACGAATTTCTTGTAATTGGAGTCGATCGGCTTGAAGCAGACGTCCGAAGATGCCGAACGAAGAAGATGCCGACGCAGCACCAGAGGTGCGATCGAAGATGCCGGACGAAGAAGATCTCGCACCAGAGAAGATGCCGTAAAACTCAGCACCAGAGGTCCGGTCGAAGGGAGTCGATCGGCTTGAAGCAACGGTAGAACTCAAACAAAGCGAACGAAGACGCCGCAAAACTCAAAGACAAGAACGAGCGTTCCGGTAAGGAAGCAGTCGAAGATACCGACTAAAGATAACAAAAGCTAAAATTTCAAGGATTCATGCTCTGATACTATAACAATATTTTGAGCAAATAGGCTGAATGCCTTTTCCTTTGCTTTCATTCCAATAAATAGTAGTTTGTACAATCTATTTTAGGTACATAATATTCAGTATAATCTAATTTAAGTAACATAATTAATCTATATTCATAATCTAAATATTCAGCTAAAATGAAAGAATCCGTGCAAATATAATATTTCCTTCTTTGCAGTATTACGAAGAAGAAAACTCTTTATTCTGTCTGATTTTTTTTATTCCTGATTGATACAACTTAGAAATTGAACCAGGCTTGTAAGGTTTCTTGAAACTCTGAGTATGCTTTGTCATTACAAGTTCATCTAATCTTCCAAAGTAGAAATAGTTTTTTGAGATTGTTATTGTGAGTTTTCCTGTATCATGAGTAGTCTGTGACTCTGCAAGTTTGTTATCTTGGACAAGCTTGCTTAGTCTTATTGAGTATTACCAACATGAATTAATAAACTTTACATCTAAAACTATAATACACGGGCAACATGCATGATGTTATATTTGCAAGGACAAAAACCTTTTGCAAGAATAAAAACCTTATGACATCTTCTGTTGTAGTGAAACTACTCAGCTAGTGGAAGATGACAATGGTACCTTACATAAATGAAAGATTAAGATAGATAAAGAAATGTTTTCCTTAAAGAACATAGTTAAAGAAGAATTGTAGGAGCACATAAGGAGAGCAAAGACACCAAAAGAAACATGAGGCACTTTCAAGGCACTCCGCACAAAATTGAAACTCTTGGATAATGAGTTATTTGCCATAGAACAGGTAAATATTATGATCAATGAATATTTTACAAAGGTGAAATTAGTGTGGTAAAACTTTTTAGTTTATACTGCTATGAACTTCGAAAACGCGCATCTCAACATTTTGTGTGATGAAGGAGAAATTTATGTGAGATTTTGAATGAATTTTTACAAATCAAATAAAATTATAGTGAAGATATTACCCAAAGATTTCTCCCTCATTTTGTGAGAACTTTATGATTTAGAGTTTGAGCTTTCTCATAGGGGTTTGCACCTATGATTAATTACCTCTCCTGATAATAAGAGAGCACTTTCAATTATGGCTAGTCATTAAATTTTGATTATTCAACATATAATATCAACAATTTAATTGAGAAATTTATCACTATGACCTGAGAGCTTATCATGGGAGAAATCAGAATGAATATGATCTTGATCCCATGATTTCATCGTTTCGGGTTATAATAGACTCTGGTTCTATTTAGAAACGATAGTCAGCCCAACCTGACAAAAGGATCATTTTAGTGGCTATGAGTTGCTTCAACCAAAAATAATTTAGAGACCTGGGTGAATGCATGTCTGTCTAAAGAGATAAATTCAATTTGATCTTAGCTTATAGAAGGTTTTATGCTCTATTAAATATACCATATGATTGATAACTAAAAGGGGAGAAAAATCATTAAGAAACATACAGACTAAAATCTTAATCTTAATATAGTAGAGCTGACTAGTCAGACCACCTGATCAGAGGGCTATGAACATAATCACTTCATTTTTTTAGTCTGCTTGTCAAACAACACAAAAAAAAGAACTCGATTTGTGTTCTACCTAGCATAAAATTATTTTGAGCGTGAATATACTAATATACTTAATTTCATTGTAGCTCTATGTGAGCTTAAAATAATTTCAAAATTTATCACTTGGGATAAGTGGTTGAATAAAGTGAATAGTTTAGTTTTAAGCCTGGATTGATATATGTCGTTTTAACATTTATATATTTTATGATTTGCAAGATTGGTTTTTTAAAAAGTCCTTCGATTTAAGATTCATTTTCAACATGTCTATCATTAAAGAGCTTTTAAATATTTACATTTATAATTTTTACTAAATATTATCATTTGAAAATTATTAGAACATCAGCTCTTTCAACTTTTATTCTTATGAGAAGGATGATAGCTTGATATATTTGCACGATGCACTTGCATAAATTTCATTGCATTTATAAGGTATTTGTGCACTATTTCGTACACTTTTTAAGAGGAGGCCTTATGGTGTGTGCACCAATCCCAAATGTATTTAAGCTTGTTAACTATATATTTTTTGAAGCCCTTGCATGAATCTCAAGGCACTGATGCATTCCTTGAATTGATACATCTGAGTTGAAAAGTCTTCAGGAATGTATAAGTCTTGAAGTCATTTATAATCTAAATACTTACATGAGTGCTTTGAACCAAAAAAAAAAAAAAAAACAAGTATTCATTTTAAATTCATCAAATTTTGCATTTTGTTTGCTTCTAGAAATGTCGAAGCACGATGCATGCTAAAAAATGCATCTAAAAGATTTTGGGTCATATGCTTCAGGATGATAGCTTATATCATCAATAATCTTCCTTAAGAAAAATCTAAATTTACTTCATCCTCTGAAAAACTATGGGGTATCAAAACCCACAGTTGGTCACTTTCAAGTATTTGTTTGTGCCAAATCATGTAGCAAGTTAAAAAAAAAAAAGACAATTCCTTGTATCTTTGTTGGATATGACAGCCGTAGGAAATGATAGATTCTACTACTGATTGATGTCACATAGTATGCAATGGTGTGCTTAATGATACATGTGCGTGGTGGTCTCCACAGAAAGAAGAATTATCAAATTCCAAGAAATTTGAAGATCACTCGCAAGAGAAAATTAGGGCAAAACTACCTAAAATACTACTAAGTCATCAAGAAGAATCAAAAGAAAAAAAAAAAGAAAAAGATGAAGATCATATGACAATGGCGAGCCTTTGGCAAAATGGCATACACTAGAGATCAATAGAGGAAAGTGAACTAAGTCAAGATGAAATGAGCTATTGCGGTACAAGAAGGTTCGAGAGAACCAAAGACATGCATTCTAAACAAGGTGCAGAAACCCATTTTCAAGTATGCAAATGCAACTATTGCGGTACAAAAAGGTTCGAGAGTACCAGAGACATGCATTCTAAAGCTCTAAGAACATAAAAACTATGAAAGAAGAAATCATTGCATTAGAACTAAATCAAACGTGGGATCTGGTACAAAGTTAAAAAATATGAACCTCATATTGTATAAATGGGTATAAAAAATAAGACTCACCCGGATGGATCCATTGAGAGATACAAATATTGATTGGTAACTCGATGATTTTCACATCAATATGGATTGAAATATGATGAGACATTTAGCTCAGTGGAAAATATTATTATTTTATGAGTTCTTACATTACTATTGTCGAGCAAAAACTGAAATTATGACAGATGGATGTAAAGAATACCTTTTTACAAAAAAAAAATACGATAAAAAAAAATATATATTTCAACCAAAGGGATTCGATAGTAAGACTCATCATAATTATGTATGTAACTTAAAAAAGACACTCTATGGATTAAAGTAAGTTCCAAGGGTTCGGTAAAATAAGACCGTTGAATTCTAACACCGCGGGTGTTTTATATCACACATTTACTTTTAACTTATTTATAAAAGTTAGAGTACGGAAATTGGCATATTTGATGTTGTACATAGATGACTTGATCATCACTGGGGATGATGAACTAAGAGTTTGTCAAATAAGAAAAAAATTATCAATGTGATCTAGTTGCTCACCTACTCACTAAGGAATCAAACACCGGAAAGTTTGAAGAATTTTTTCATTAACTTGGGATAATTAGAGGAAGTAAAGCTAGGGTTTGAAGGAGAATACTGAAGATTCAACAATAACACAATTTAAGAAGCCCAAGCCCATGCCAAGCCCTAACATCAAGCCCAGTTTCTTCAAAATTCTTCAACTAAATACTTTTTTTAAGCTTCTTATAGTGAAGAGTTTCTTGAAGCTTCCCAAGAGTAAAGATATTCTTGAAGCTTCCTGGAGCGAAGAGATTCTTGAAGAGAAGTAGAAGAATAAAAAGAAGGGTTTAAGAGAGTTCTATAGTGTTGCAGTTTTGTAGTCCTGTAAGTTGAGTGAAAAGTTCGTCTTTCTAAATATTAAGTTTTGTAATCTCCTTTTTAGTTTTAGTAAAAGTTTTTTTTATGTCTTGGATGCTTTGGTGTTCTTCAGAGATGTCATAAACATTCATATAAGGTAAAACAATATCAAGAAACAACTTACCTTATTTCTTTCAGCAGCTATCTTCAATTCCTGAAGAATGTAATTATTTAATTCCTTTAGTGCACATAGTTCGTTGAAGGAACCTTTATGACCATTCAACAATGCCCATTTCTTAGTATTATCTTCATGTGGAGTGATCACAGCCACCAACTTCGATCTGTAGCTGTTACCATAGAGCCAAATCTAAAAAAATAATTAATTATCAGTAAAATTTTATCATATATACCTGCAAAAAACTTCATATTAATCATCTAAGAGAAGAAACCATACATCTTCTATAATAGGAACGGCACTATACACTTTCTCCAAGTATTCAACAGCAACATATTCTCCCTGTGAAAGCTTAAAGATATTCTTCTTTCTATCAATAATTATCAATATCCCATCAGGTGTTATCTCTCCAATGTCGCCTGAAGAAGGAAACAATAAATTGAAATAATTTCATGATGCTAAGAATGGCTTTTTAACCATTCATTGTTCTACCTGTATGGAACCAACCATCTATGATTACTTCCTTTGTTAACTCAGGGTCCTTGTAGTATCCAGAAAAAAGTGTTTTCCCCCTAACACAAACTTCACCCCTTGAAGGTTGACCCAGTGGATCATAGCCCATCTCTGGAACTTCTTCGAGACGCAAATCTGTGAATGTTGTGGGTACACCGACGGAGCCAATCAAGGCGAGATCATCAGGGTATCCAATGGTGGTCTGACCACAGGTTTCTGTAAGTCCTGCAATTCATAGGATAGAGCGAGGTATGTAATTAACCAACATAGTATGTTGTCTTGTATATGCAATAAAAGACATGTAAAGGTGAGATGAACCAATCATCCAACAAATTGTTGATACATTCTGTATAATTTAAGCTGCATAGCCTTTTTAACTATTAGGTTGTGGAGTCTGTTTAATGTCAATCATATGAAAGAAAATATGATACATAGTTTTAATTAATGTTTATCCTAAGAAATAAAATATGATGCATAGTTTTAATCTTGAGTCGACAACTGTAATAATGTCATCTTGTGCGTTGGAAGAGGGCTTTGCAAAAAAAAAAGAAAAGAAAAGAAAAAAAAAGTTCAGGATAAAAGGCTAAAACATGTAAAGTTTGTGACTTGTCAAGAATATGATGCTGTTTTTTTTATGAACTTTTATTCTGCATAAAAAATTGAGTATAAAGCATAAGCAGAAAGTAGAACATCACATTCAAGCTCACAAATTTTTCCATGACAGAAATGATATTAAGTTTTTGTCATATGAACTGTAGAACTTAGATAACCTTCTAGAAGGCAGTAGAAATTCAAATTTGTGATGTTAATTACCAACTCTGAGACAATAACAACACTTTTGAATGAGATAATCCCCAAAGAGTGTGATTATTGATCTCACAATATCGAAACAGAAGAAACTGAAAGCAAAATTTAAAAATAAGGGCACCTAGTTGTAAAATGAATAAAAGCAACAATAGAAGAGCAGGAGGGGTAAGAACTTGATGTATTAGTATCAAATCATGTTTCCGCTGAGATAATTCCAATTATGGCAGCGTCAAAGGTTTGGAGAAACCGTGATGCACAAACAAATTTATATTCATTACTGAGAACCATTATAACTATCCATGAGCACATAACAAGCATATATTATGAAATATTTGCTTAAAATTAGAAAATAAAAAGGGATGGTTCTCATTATACCATAGCCTTGTAACATAAAGGCACAGCTAGTGACTCTCAAGAACTCTTCAATTTCTGGACTCAATGGGGCACCTCCAGACACCAGCAATCGAACTCGGCCTCCGAGCCTTGCTTTCACCTGAATCAATCACAAATAATTGGCAAAAATACTACAAATCATACTCGTTCTTCATCAAAACTAGCTAAGAAATGTTATGATTTCTAAGATAACATAAAATAGAGAAAAGCTATTTAAATTATTTAAGATGATTTAGAACTTAAGAGTGGCAGTATAACCTTGCTAAATGCTAAGAAATCAGCAAATGGAGAGGCAGTTTTGTGCGAGTATCCCAATCTCATCCAGTGTAATTTACTAAATTGCAATAACAAACAAAAATATCAATAATAATTCAATATTTTCTAGTCATGGTTGGGAGATAGACTAACTTACTGCTTGTACAGAAGGTTAAAAATCAATCTTCTTAGTGGCCTGAGCTCTGACACTGTCTTTAATATGCCTAGTATGATAAAAATCTGCATTAGAAACTCACAAAGGCTACAAAATGATGAAGTGATCAAGTTTAACTATGTCAAGTTATATTTGTAAGAAGAATAAAACCCTGCCTTCATAAACTCTTTCAAACACTCGAGGGACACCGGCAAAGAATGTCGGCTTTAGTTCCATGAGATCATCCCTTAAAGCTTCAATATTCTAGCAAAAACAATAGGGATTTTAAAATTAAAAAGAAAGCAAGGAAAAAAAAATAGAACTAAGAAAATATGCTCTAAAAAATTTATCTTTTACCCCTTGAAAATATCCAACTGAAGCACCCTTATGGAAAAAGTATTCCTCAATCATTCGATCAAGGATATGTGCCAATGGAAGGAAGGAGAAATAAACATCATCAACTGACATCTAGTAGAGAAAGCACAATTAATCTCTAAGCCATACAAGTAAAAAATAAAATAATACAAATGTTGAATATTACTAAAAAAAGTTTGGAAATTAACCTTGTCTTCAAATTGATCCAAGAAAAGCTCAACTCCTTTTACATAGGTTGCATGTGTTTCATGTGTTAAAACAACTCCTTTTGGATTACCACTGGTTCCACTCGTGTACATTATGGTGCATATGTCAAGAGGTTGAGGAGGCACAGGTTCTGATGGATATTTCTTTCCCTCGAGTTATAAAAAATGAGAATAATATTAAAACCAAAGAACATTAATAATAACTATTAATGTGGAGATAATTTATAAACTTACTATTAGAATAAAATCATTCCATGAATATGCTTTTATCCCAGCAGCAGCAGCAACAGCATTAATCTGTTCCTCAGGCATAGCACTGAATGAAACGATGGCTGAAATATTTCAAAATCCAAAAAAGTGTCATTCATCATTGGTTCGAGCCAAGAGAAAACCACCCAAATCAAAGTGATCTCCATAATTCTCACATTTCAGTCGTCTTGCTGCTTTGCATTCGGAAGAAAGAACCTACAATGTGTGCTAAACAGGTCTTATCCAGCTTAATATATCATAAAAATGAAATTTTTATGTAATTAATTCTTACATGTTTAATTTTTTTATCTTGCGCGAAGACAACATCAATTTCTGCATGCTCGATTATGTAATCAATGGCGCCAGCTCCTGCTCAAAATAGAGTTTAATATCTCATAAAAATGAGAACTTCTAAGCTAGAAGTATGTTAAACCAACCCAGTGTATCATAGAGAGGCACGCAAACTAAGTTGTATCCATTGCAAGCCTGTATTAACTTTCTAAGTCAGTAAATTTTAAATATATATACTGAAACTCTAATTTATTTTAGATGTAAATGTATAAGCTTAAAAATAGTGGAGTAAGAAAGTAACCTCCATTACCACAGCCCATTGAGGGCAGTTTGCTCCATAAATTCCAATTCGTGTACCCTATTGCTTGATAGAATCACAGAACCATTATAACAGTTGATTGAGTTCACAAAAATTAGTTCTAAATTAAATTATCAGAGTTAAGTGAGAAAAACCAGAACTCTTACAGGTGCTACATCTAGCTGCCTTAAAGCTGAGCCAATGTAAAGCACTTCTTCATAAACTTCCTTATAAGTTGCCCAAACATAGGGCCCTGCCTAAGGAGTCGCAGCACCAACTTCCACACTTAGTTTTAAATCACATATTACAACATTAAGTTGGCTAATTTTATGTAATCTCTAATAATAAACAAATACCTTCCCTTGGCTGAATTCCCTCCATCCAAGCATTTTATTTCCAGGATTCTTCTCAACGGAAGACCTGCAGAATAACATTTATTAATTTTTCAGATGAAAAAAAAAAGGGAGGGGACACAAAAGATACGGAGTTAGGAAGTATGACCTGCAAAGAGTAGAAGGCATGTCAAACTTGACTCAATAGACCAAGAAAGTGTTTAATACTAGAATATTTCAATGGAGATTAGGTGGTTGCAATCTATGAAGCATGGACACTAGCATTAGATACAAACATAACATAACACATACATGGGATAACATTTTCGTAAGAAATAGAACATAACATGCTATCAAAATTATATTTTTTTGATAAATTATTAGTATTAAAAAAAACAAATGTTTATGTCGTCTATAAAAAATTTTTACATAATAAAAAATAAAATATCATATGTATTAAATTAAAAGCATCAGAAAGATAAAAAAATTTTGTTTAAATTACAATTTTATCTAATAATTTTATCAAGTATATTTTTCAAAAAGACACCAACAACATTACTAACCATGCATGATTTTGTCAATGAATTTATTTTGTCCATAAGAAATCACAAAATAAGAGAAAAATCATCAAAATGACCAACAAATTATGACCACGTTGATGAATCATTAACTGACCAACATGCTCGTCATCATGATCATAAATAAAAGACCAATGTTCTCTTTAATAGGAAATTTACCATCTTCCACAAAATTATAATTTCCTATGCTAGATCATAAAAAAATGTGCTTCATCATCATATCTCTAGGTCATATCAAGGTCCAATCAAACTGTGTTGTACTCCTTTTCGTCACTCTGCAAATTATAAATATTTGTAATAGCCTTTTCAATTTCATGTCCAATCAAATCTCAATTCTTTACAGCTATCTCTAACTGCCTAAATAAGAGTTTTATCATTCTAATCAACACTAAATCTTCACATTTAATAGCTGATATAAATATATATGTACATATATATATATATATATATATATTGCCATATAAGTGGCTCTTCTTCAATAACAGTGAGTGGTATAAACACATTTGGATCTGTACCTGTAGTATGGTGTTTTTCATCACAGAAGAGTGCTCCTTCAATCCGATAAAAGATTAGCTGATACAACAAGTAGTTGTTTCTAATGTTAAAAAATCTACACATGTCCGAGCGAAAAAAACGTATATTTGGATTTATGGAATCGCGCCAAATCTAGCATTTCGACATTTTCGATCCGCCTATTCCAGGAGGAAGAAGAAAAATGGAGGCCGACTAGAGCTCGGGAATTTATTGGATGATACATTGGTTACTATTGGCAATGCACTCATCTTACCAATTTATTAGCTGGCTACTTCCCTAGAACTAGAGGCAGAAGCAAGACAAAATTGGATCACTCTCTCTAGCTACCTGATACTCCATATTTTAGCACTTTTTGGTTTTTTTCTTTAGGTCACTCATGTATTTTTCTTTATTTTCTCTTTTTTGAACCATTTGATGTGGAGGTTATCGTGTGAGCAGGGTGCCATGTTTGGACCCTCCCACACAATCTATCTGTATCCTACTTTCTATTTAATATATTAGCTTTTGGGCTTTCTCAATATATATAATATATATATATATATATATATATATTGCATGTGTCCCATTCTACGCATATGTGATACAAATACATAAGGCTATGTATTTGTATTTTATAGACTGCAGTTGTTATTTGTGGCTATTTGAGGAGATTTCTTATTTAGGTTTTGTAAGCGTGAAGGCCTCTACATATACCCTTTTATGTTACAATTTCATGCACATTAAAGAAGCACGACATGACCCTCAATTTCAGATTTCTTGTAATGCAAATCTATATTTTGATTTCCCTTGAGATGTCTGTAGCATAACAACACTGTTGAGTGGTATCAATAAGAATTCTAGCCAGCTTTTTTCTCATGGTAGGTTCTGTTATAAGAGAAACTCATCTTGTATGTGAGAGTGTATTTGAGTTTTTTGTTTTTTTTTCTTTTGTCCGGTACTTAGGTTTTGGGAACCCCAAAGGATTTTCTCTTCTTATTATACATCACAATAACAAAATCATTATTTTTTACTTGATAAAATAGTCTCTCCTATCTCACATATGTAGTCTTGTTTGAAGTAGAATCTTATAAAGTTAGGATTATTCTCAGCCCAATGCTAGAATATCATTTCATGTCCATGTCCACAAAGTAATCTCTAATGGAGAAATAATAGTTCTATATGAGTTGGATTCTAATTAGTATCAAAGGATGCTTTCAGGACAACAATCTCGTTAAATGAACCGATAAAAATCAGACTCCTACTTTCCTTTTCCCTTTTCATCACCCTTTCCATCTCAGATTCTTCAGTCTCTAACCTAAAATTATAGTAGAGGCTTCGAAATAATTATTGTATGGTCTAACTTTACCTCCTCTGTAAATAGAATCCAGATCATGCTCAAGATGTACCTCCTTACCACTCTAATCCATCCAATCTTCAAGACATCCTCATTTTTCTTTTGCCATCATCTTAAAAAAATGGATTCTAGCTCGTGCTCTAGATCAAAGTCATCATTATCATCATCTTCAATTCTTAGAAATCTCCGGCTTGATGGCCAATGAGATGATTGCCAATCATCCTCATCATATGTCGACCCTATAAAGAAATTCCATGCTTTTTATCAGTTGTGTTCTCTGTATTGTGATTGTGTTTCTCTTTTATGCCAACTAATAGTCTATCATTCTTGATTTTGGTTGGCACTTCCACTTCAAGGTATTTGATACCATCATTACAATAAGCTAGTACTACGGTATGGTTTGGAGACCAAAAAGTTAATTTGAAAGATTTTGAACAATTTGATTAACCAAGATTGTTACATTGATGCAAAATTACTCATAGTAGAAGTCTTTGCATAAATAACTATGGAGTGATTGTAGTTCATGTTTGGGCATTGCATAGTTGGGAAGTAAAAAACTTTGGCTCTAGTTGCAACAACAGTTTGTGACATAAAAAAGAGCAAGATGATTGGAAGAATTTAAGCAAGTAGATGATCAAGTTTACATTGTGTATTTGTGGTGCCAAGTTTTCTCATTACATCATTCAGTGTGAGAAGATAACCATTTTTTTGATATTAAAATTTTTTGGTGGATGCATTCTTGTTTTGATTTTATCTTTGTACTCAACTTATGTGCTTTATCGGTCACTCATAAATATGTAGAAATAGCATTGTGGTAATCTTTTGGATGGGGTTAGAAGTTTAGAGTAATCACCTTGGAGGAGAAGAGTTACATAAACGATCAAGTTGTGCCAAATAAGAGTAGAGAAAGAGATTTTTTATATGAGGCTCAATCTACTAGCAAAATGTTTAATCTTAGTATTTATGTGGAGGACGGCTATGATTGTTAATTGCAGCTAAAAAGGGAGATATCTCGGTTAGGGTTTGTAAGCTTGAAAGCTTCATGACATACCCTTTTATCATTGGATTTCATATACATTTAAAGAAGCAAGGCATGCTAATGCATCACCAATTCATTATAAAAATCATCATCAAAAGCGTTGATTCAAGATAGAGAAACCACGGTCACCAGTTTTGGACCCTGATTTTTCTGTGGATTTACACCATCAAAGAAAAAGAACTAAAATAAGGAGAGTTTAGAGCTATGAGGATAGGGAAAATTAAAGAAGAATTACACTTTTTAATATTTGCGGATCCATCTATAGTATTATAATGACCTCCATATTAATAGAGGGAATAGCTTATACGTTACAAAGAAATTACTCTAATAAAGGAATCCCAACAACTTTCAGATCTATCCTTTATATCATTTTCTAGCATGGGTTTTATAATTAATATTATCTGGGTAATGCCTTCAATAGGTAATTATTCCTTATAAAATGTTTTTCATCAAAGTTCACTTATGATAATGCTTTTGTCAGTCAACTCGGCCATGGGGCGAGTAAAGCATCCTTAGAGAGTTGCGTTATTATGTGGAGCTTGATTGTGTTAATGAATTGGACATTCAAAGGCTCCAATTTTGCCAATTAAGATTGACAATGATTTTGCTTAGGGATTACAGGGGGAAACCCCCTATATTCGGTTCAGCGATGCTATAGACTCAAATTTCGAGAGCAGGGCACTCTAGCTCCTGGAGAAACCTTAGTGCCCAGTTTAGGTTTCAGAACCGGAGTGCTTGATATTGCAGCATCCAAAAGTCAGTGCGCCAATGCCTGTTAGAGCACCACAGTGCCACTATTGCAATTCCCAGGCAATAGTAACCAATTTTAGCAGTTCTTCAATTTAAATGATAACTTTCAGCGGAAGTGTGCATATTTTTTTAGTGCAAGATTTCAATTTCTCTTGCATAAGGGTGAGAGGAAAAAGCATTCTTGATCGTCGAAGTGTAGAAAGGCTTGGGTGTGGCGTAACTTGTACAGTTCTTATTTTTTTAGTGGATTTATTGAAGTGGTGTGACTATAATTTTTTTTCCATTCTCAGGTTTTTCTAAGTTAAATCTTAGTGTTCTTTGTATTTTTTGTGATTCCTTATTTTATGCACGTCTTTTCTAAATTTTACTTCGGATCTCTTGAATCTGTTTCAACATATCTCCTAATAAGTCGTATTAGAACGAGCTTTTATAAAGATCATTAATTTGGGTAGGAGTAATGGCCACTAAAGTGAGGTACAAGTTTGAGAAGGTTAATGGTTCAAACTTTACTCTAAAAACAAATTAAATTTTCTTACATAAAAAGAAAATATATTTGTTAATGGATGGAATCATTAAAAAGTTGGAATTGATGACTCTAGAAGAATGTGAAGTTATTGATCGAAAAGCACTAGATTTGATCTACTTTTCTTATCCGTTACTTTCAACATTATGAATGAGAAGACTATCGTTGATCTTATGGTTGCACTGCGAGAATGTATAAGAAGCCTTCAGCATTAAATAAATTTTTCTAATAAAGAAATTATTTAATATACAAGTGATGAATGGTAGCTCAGTGGCTAAACATTTTAAACTCTTCAACACCTTGATAAACTAGTTAAGTTCCATCGGCATCA